AGTTGGGAATAGAATTTTAACATAAAGAGCATGGTAGCGTGATCATCAATGGCCCACAATGACGCTACAACTGAACGGGCTCCTGCAGCAAGAAATGCTCGAGTCATTCCTACGACTCCCTCTGATTTGATCTCACCCCGACCAGTGTGGCAGCAGCTCAACACAACGAGTTGAGCACGAATTCCACTGTCTTGTGCTTCCTTCATAGTCAAGATGTATTCGTTCTCCTCTGGAATGTTGTTTGTTGTTGAAGGTTTAGAAGGAGCGAGAAAGATCTGTCCGTTTTCCTCACAGCCATGTGCAGCAAAATGGATGACCGACACCCCATGTTCTAAATGACGAAGGACTTTGTCCTTTGTCGCGTGTTCTCCTATCAACGRTTGTACTCCGAGTAGTTTGCCAATCTCTTTCGCTTCATTCTCTGCACCTGGTAGAGAGGTGATGCTTCTTTGTTTACCTTTATACATGACTTTTCCAGTGGCTGGATTACCAATAATCAGCGCCCCTGACTAATAATGATAAACAAATATTGAAATAAAAAAGCATTATATTTACCAACCATTGCACGTGTTGGAAAAACAATTTGTGTATCTAAACATTTTGATATCACGTATCCGTTTTACCTTGGAATAATTTTCATCCGAGGATTCTTGTAAAATCTTCAAAGTTGTCAGAGATGGTGCCAGGCGGATGCGTTTGGTTTCTGATAAAAACTTTCCTGTCTTTGGATCTTGAAGAGCAGCGAATGGCAGCATGAACAGAGGTCCATCAGGAATGATGATAATCTCATCTTGGGTCAGCGTGTGCAGCACAGGGTCGACTAATCTATCAAACAGAATTTCCAATGGAATGGCCTCATCAATCTCATCACAGACTGCTTCCCCCCATCTCAAACTTTTATCATTCATATCGGTTTTTTTGGAGTTTGAAGCGGTTTTKGAGAAATCTTCATCGTTGTCCTCATATTCGAATGATTCCAGGGATCTGTCCTCGCATTTCATACTTTCTCTGATTTTCATAGATTCAAAACTGTTATGAACCAGATTCTGAAAATAGTCATTTTCTATGTTTTTTATGTCATCAACATACTTCTCTGAGTTGAAGATCTTTTTCAAATCTTCACGCTTTGTCAATTCATCATAAAAGTAGATTGATCTGGCTTGGGGACCTACAACCCAGACGTCRGAAGAAAATTTGGTCCGAAGATTATARAAAAGAATGCARCTATCACAGSTTGATAAAATTGTCTTGATGTCAACAAGGTCTAGTGTTTGTTTTTTCACCTTTGCGTTCTTGGTAATGTTTGTAGTGCTGTATTTATAACTCAAAAGATCCCCCAAWGCTCGGGCTCGTCCACGCTCGCATACCAAGAGGGCTTTATCGATATCTCCTCTTTCGATAAGGACTTGGTTGAGCGCTTTGTACGTTATGATAAACGTATCGACAATGGAGATCTTGAATTGGTCATTTTCTTTAAGGTCATCAAACAACTTCTMATAGCATTCAATGCTATTTTCCAAATGCTCCTTTGATTTCCTAAGGTCTTTAATGCTTGTTTCCTCTTGATAGCATAGACCTTTAAAATACATAGTCATATAATTCAGCTGTTTATCTATACTAATCCATTTAAGAATAGAACTAATGTCTTTTCTGTAAGCCTGTCACGCCAAGTACACACATTATGAATAATACGCGAAGCAAAAACGTTATTTTTCGAATGTCACTAAAAACGCGGGATTGTTGGGAGAAGACTTGGAAAGGTTCAGCTCATGATTGAAAACCTCGTGTTCTCCCAACTATCCAACGTGATTATAAACAGAGAATGGAATCACGAAAAGTATCATAAATTTACCAAAAATATAGGAGGAGCCGACGGGTTCCTGGCAGAAATATATCTGTTCTTATGTCCCAGCCAGCTATAAAGTCACAACTGGTTCCCAGCGAGAAATTCAAGAAAAAAAGAACTCTCCACTGAGGCAAGGAATGCTTTCTAAGAATTTTTGCCAGGAAAATGATAAAAAAAACGTTTGCCAGGAACAAAACCATTTTAACGAAGGAAGGGTGTCACATTTGCTCGTGACTATATTAGCTCAAAATCCATTTCCCAGGAACTTTCGTACAAGAATAGTTTAGATTTAGAAGAACAGACACCTTTGGCTCCATATGAAACTTATGGGGGACAAATAGTCCGTGATCACTCAAGCTTGACCTGACAGTCCGTATGAAGTGCCAAATTTGACGAAAAAAGGCCAGATTTCAAGGCTTTTTGAAGAAATGCGGCGACATTAAAAACAATCCTAAAAACCTAGCACCGGATTTAAGAAATAAAATCTATAAGTGACCTTTCTGGGTATTTTTCGTGAGAAAATTCGAAAATCCAATCATGTATTTTTGCCCTTGAAGAGTTGAAGTTGAGCATTAAAATAGTATGGCGATCCATGTTTTCAYCACAGTTCGCTCCAAAAAACTGGGCCTCGCGCATAACTTATTTTGTTAATAAAAAACCTAGCACCGGATTTAAGAAATAAAATGTATGTGTGACATTGCTGTGTATTTTTCGTGAGAAAATTTAAAAATCCAATTATGTATTTTCGCCTTTGAAGAGTTGGCGTTGCTTCGCATCCGTTTGCGTTTCGGGATTCCTGTCCCGACGATGAACGGATGCAAAGGAGACTACTTCTGTAGGCACAAGCAACAAAAATCAAACTTGAATTTTTCAAATTATTGCTTTCTTATTATGTTTAAAATGTAGTCAAAACTATGCAGTTTTGTGTTAATTCAGTCAGTGAACGYAACTGTGATATTATATGTACATGTACTTTCCTTTCTAGAGGTGACTTAGCTATTAATAGTATTTAATGGTCAGATGATGATGTTAATGAGGTCGATCGACGACAAAATATTAATTAACTCCATTGTATTATATTTCATGAAGTAAATAAATAAATTACATGCATATATATATGCATGCATGGATGCATGAGTGAGCCTGGACAATAATCCAAGCAAATGTCACCCGATGTATGGCAATAA